GGCTGCGAAATAGGATCATGCCGACAGCTCTTTGCATTGTCTCCAGTAGTGACGTTAAATCAATATCACCGGTTGTGCACTTGAACTTCACTCAATGTAATTCCAAACACACAGACCGGAGGCAACCATCAGGTGTCAGGTAATGAAACCGAAAGACCCACTGCCACAACAAGAAACGTCTGGAGTAATTTATCGGATCTGATGCAGTTGCGGACAAAGAGACTATGTCGGAGAAACCGGAGGACAGCTCCAAACGCGAATGGCTGAACACACTGCAGTGGGGAGGAGAAATGATGCTAGCTCTCAAGTTGCGGCTCATTCGATGAGATCCGGCCACACATTCAAATTCGACGAGGTCGAAATTCTCGAAAGAGGTGACAACCGCGTGAGCCGGGAGCTGCTTGAATCATGGTTTACTGGCTCCCAGTCAATTAACAAGTACAATGATCTTCCCATTCAATAAACCGCGCTGAGACTTCGTCTAGGCGTAGTAATTGGCCACGCGGGGAGCGCACAGGTGAACACTTTTCCCAACACCAGGGCCAGCGCGTCAGATGGTCGGGCAATCATCACACCAACATCCAGCACACGTGATGAGACTGCAGCAATTAACGACGCGAATGTAGGCCATTACACCACTTGCAACAGTCCCTAATGAAGGGGGGAGTGGGCCGTGAATATTTATGCGTATGCGGTAGTGTGGAGGCTGCATCCTATAAATACTGCAGCCCTTGTGCATGAACCACCCGTATCTGGTTTGTCTCTGATGAGGTGTTTTAGCGCAGGAATCCGAAACATGAGGCTAATAAAGTTCTTGTCCCGGCGATCGTGTCTCATTCTTCAAAACGCAAGCTCATTATGAATTGTGCATCGTGAACGTGGGTGGACATCCCAGCCACGTGGGCGTCAACGAAGTCGGCAGAATGTAGGCCTTTCCACCGTCTGCCATGTCAGACCGTTTGCATGCGAGGCCGCAACCCGGAGAAGAACCGGCTGACCTCAAACACTAGACTAGACAGGGGGGGGGGTGAGAGTTAAAATCTGGGCTTATGCACCAACCAAAATGGGAGCAGACCACTTGTGGCAACTTGTCCACACCAAGAGGGCACTGCATCGGTCACGATTTCGGAGGGGGGGGGCGAGGATGATGGGACGACAACAAATGAGGAGTTTATGCTGTACAACACCACTATGCTGTACAACACCACTAGCGTGTGCCGCACACAGCAGAGGCTGCTCGAGAGGCCAGGGCAGATGTTGAGAGTATTGAGAGAAAGAGGGAGAGAGGGGGGAGGGAGAGTGAGGGTGGAACGCCTGGGTGGTCCAAAGTTTTTTCATGAGGGAGTTCAAAGTTTCTGTGTCCCGGCTCGCTAACATTGCGTCACTTACGGCATGGACGACAGTGACTGTGGGGGACGTGTGTTCGTCTAGGCCACAGTTGGCCAGGGTCGTCGGTCGGGCTGAAAAATCAGCGTGTGTGTGGTAGAGCTGGCAAAGACGGTGGGTGACCTTGAAGTGGCGTGACCTTGAACGAAGTAGTTTTGCGCCGTTCTGTCCGTCGGCCAGAGCGCTAGCGTCTCAGCCAGTTCAGTCTGAATGAGAATTTGGCCCCCGTTTGCACGAAAAGCAGCTTTATTTGCGAAAAGCCTTTTTGTCTAAAAGAAAATGCCCGGGATGTCCGAGAGTGCGCTTTAGTTTACAACACTATGTGGGTGCATCCAACATTCAATTTTGGGAATTTTGCGCTACCTGGCAAACCCCCAAGTGTCATTAGGCTGTTCAAAACTTCCCGAGCTCCTTAAACTTCAGAATTTTCAAAGCAGATAAGAAGTTTAACTTCTTCAGTAAAAACTAAACTCGGCAATGCTGCATTTCAATGATTGACAGCGATTCCTGAAAGTTGTGGATCAACCCAGAAATTCAGCATGCTTGCAAAAGCTGAGCGTAGGCTGAAACTCTTCATTTTCAGTGGAGAGTAAAGAGTCCATTCCAGAACCAAGAACGGAAAAATAAAAAAAACAAGAATTAATAGTTGTGGCCAGGTTCTGGATTTAATCTTCCTCCAAAGTACAAAATAGTAAGCCTCCGAAATGTTTTCTACTGTCCGTATGAGAACATATGCACATAAATTAATCTGACCTAATTGTGAAAAACTCGCTAGCCTCGGCGGGATTCGAACCCAAGACATCAAGAGCACGGCGTCAGTGCAGCCAACGCACTAACCGCCTGACCTGGAAGGCCCTGAGAGTGAGCCGTGAGTTAACACTCATATGGATCAAGTAACTCGCCTTACCTGCTGCAAAGTACAGCAGATGGGCTAACTCATGAAATGTCAACCAAAATTTCTAAATGCGTTTTCGTTTCGAAAAGACTAATTAAGTAGGGTTGTAAAACTAGTCAGCCTGCAACATAATTCTATAATATTTCCGTTACCACAGGATGCCGGCTTTCGAAAGAACGTCCTTTCGACTGCATGCAAAACTGCACTCTGTAAAAAATGAATACGTATGTAGCATGAATGTTTTTTCATTTTCAATGCCCTTAAAAATTCAATTGTACTTCATAGAAAACATATAAAAATATGAAGTCTTTCTCTCATTCGGTAGAAAATTGCGTCTTCTTCCAAATTAGTTTGAACCCACTCTACCGTTACACTTGGGTTCAGGGTTTCCGATCTACGGGCCGTATATTTTCCGCGTGCGTAAAACCACACATTTCTTTACAGTAATTAAGGGAGACCGTATACGGTTCACAAAATGTAGCAGTGGATTTGATCCATATTGTTAACTTTACAAGCCATATTGGTAAATGCAGAGACATGACGATATATGAGCGGCCATTTCACAGTATTTGAAAGTCCCACAATTAGAAACTCTTTTAAAATCGAATTATTTTCCTCCAAGTATAAAATCGGAAGACGTAATTTCTTCCGAATGGGCAAGATAATGAGTATTTTTGTGCATCTATTCCATAAAACAGAATTGGATTTGTACGATAATTGAACATCAATGAGACAAATTCATACTACATAAGTAGTCATTTTTTACACAGTGTCGTTTTTGTCTGCAGCCGGAAGGATTTTCATTCGAAAGCCGGCATCCTGATGTAACTGAAATATTATAGAATTATTTTGCAGGCAGACTAGCTTTAGATCCCACTTAATTAATATTTTTGAAATGAAAATGCATTTCGGAATTTCGGTTGACATTTCTTGAATTAGCACGCCTACTGTATGGAATCCACCACTTGTGTAAACGCATGAATTTCGTTTGGGACCTCGAATCTCGGGTGGTTAGAGTTCTGGCTGTACGTAAGCTTTAGCATTGCTCTCGTGGTTTCCAATCCCACGAAGGTCGTCGATTTTTTAACAAACCTGGAACACACTGACTATTACAACCTCTCACAAAACCTATTAATAGTCGTAAATGACAACGTCATGGAAACTGCAAAAAAATAGTGGGTATCTGGGGATGAAAATTCGAAGACTCAAGTGCATTGTGAAAGACAATATTGGGTGACGAGTGTCATTCGCGACCCGCAAATGCTCACAGCTGCTCGCCGCGTAAATTCGACCAATACAATTGGTAAAATGACTAAAACCGGCTAACCCAAATCTGGGAACAGTGATTGTTAGATTTGCCTAAACGTCTTATCATCTGAGGCGGAAAACTCTCACGTCCCAGCACGTATATCTAAGCAGCTAACCTTCATCCTGCACAGAGCTTGATGCATCTTTGAATTGACATCCTTGCAATGTCCGGTGTCTTTGCTTAACTGCTCTCTGTACCAGGAACATTCTTATCTCCTGTGAGTATACTTCAGACGCGCGGACGGCGTCCATCGTGCGCTTCATGGTAGTGTGAGAGCAGCCATGCCTTGCGGTATGACTGACTTCAGCACATACGACAGTTCGACCGGCGTTGCCAACGATGTCCACCGCTTGCTCCACAGCAAGGTGAAACAGGCACAAGGACTTGTTCGTGAGTTAGTTTTTAGTGTAAGTAGACTTACACAGCACTTACCGCAATCTCTCCTCCTACTCTCCAACCGGACCCGATGTCAAGACATAGTCAATAAGACCGGAGGGGTGGGGAGGGCGCAGGTGGATGACACGACCGAGCCCGCACCTAGGCGTGCAATCGCACCATCACACAGAAAATGACAATGACTTTAACCAATAATAGTCATCAACATCAACAACAGCAGTAGCGGCAGAAGCAGAGGGACGAGGAAAACCTGGCAGCCACACTCACGAACTACATACCCAGCGGGAGCGCAAGCGCATCAACCGGAAGGCAACCGTCTGCCAGAGAACTGTCAGTCTACACCAGGCTGCGGGGACCATGGTTTGCTGATACTGGCAGAGCAGACGCTCACAGAACTTTAGGCCCTGAGAGCACATTTAAGTACGCACATTCCAACAGTCACAGCGGTCCACGTTGCAGTTTGGGTAGGTCGTCCTTAGGATAATGCAACACAGCCCACCTCACCACACCGTGTCTAGGGCAATGAACTAGGATATTTGGATCATCATAAAGGACGGCGTCCACCGTGCGACCTACGGATTGGGCATAGGACGGCAACTTACGCAAGGATTGGTTTATAGTAAGGCAGACTTACGCAGCATTCACCACACCCTCTCATCCCTCATCCATCGGACCTAGAGGGCAAGACAATGTCAGGACGGCCGGAGACGAACTCCTGTCCACATAACGTGTTCTAGGCGGTACTGTCTAAGCATCAGGCAGGTCAGTCTTTGATACCGAACGGCCGCACGTGTACCTCAAAAATGCAAGGCCCAAATCAGCCTATCTCAGTGATCTTCATTCCCGCCAGGGATTTTGACTGAACTACTTTTTTTAATTTGAATACAACGCTTTACATTGTCTTTGTGCAGGCATGGATATTATGCGCTTATTCTAAAAGTGATTGAATTCGAATCCGACATTCACGAGTATTTTGGAACAAACCGCAAAATATCATATGATACAGCACTACCTCTAAGAGTTTATATTAATATTTTCATCATCATCATCATCATCATCATCATCATCATCATCATCATCATCATCATCATCATCATCATCATCATCATCATCATCATCATCATCATCATCATCATCATCATCATCATCATCATCATCATCATCATCATCATCATCATCATCATCATCAGCAGCAGCAGCAGCAGCAGCAGCAGCAGAATCATCATCATCATCATCATCATCACCACCACCATCATCGTCATCATCATCATCGTCATCATCATCATCATCATCATCGTCGTCATCATCATCATCATCATCATCATCATCAGCAGCAGCAGCAGCAGCAGCAGCGGCAGCAGCATCGTCATAACAGGCACTATAAGTCTCCTGCATACGTCCACTTTGCATTTTCGAAAATGGCGAAGGAGATACGCAAGCACGACTGATGATTTCCGAAGAAGCCGAGGACTCTTGTTCAACAATCGTCCAAGAAGCAGACGGCTTGTTAATGACATGATAACTACAAAAATTTGGCTTGTCAACAGTTCTTGGAAGCAGGGAATTCGGGCGCTGGAAAGAACGATTTTACGATATGGTCTTGTAAACTTGTTCTCGAGTTCGTATTCTTTAGAGGATGAACTAATGACGCAGTCTGAGAGCTCGGATCTGTAAACTATTCCTTCCGCGCCATGAATTTCGATAGGGTACTGTTCTAAGTTGGCGGCCGTCTTAGAGGTTACCTCACGCTAAATTCCACGTGAATTAAGTTTAGGATTGCAGTTAGGAATAAGGTTTGGACACTGAAACAGGTACACTTCCGGCATTTAGCTCAATACCCTCCTGTAGTACGAGGGGTTCTTACCTCCCTCCTGTTTGTAGCACACGAAATCCTAGGGTGCCTGTTTTCTCACCCCTTCACGGCTAAAGCGCTCTCGGTTTGTTCTGGAAACATGCACCCAAATGTGACATGGGTCTACTAGGCCGCTTAAGGATGATACGAGTAGTGGCTGGCTGTCGAGTATTTTTGCATAAAAGCAGAAAATGCGACTATCGGAACGCATAGCCTTCCGCCCCGTCTCTAACAAAGTACGAGGATAGACTGGGGTGGGCGGTCCAGTGACTCAGACTACAACCATTTACTTCCAACTGATTACGTGTTCCCGTTCTTTTTGACAAGAACCGCGGACTGGCATATTCGCTGACCTACTCGTGAAAAAATGTGGGCGTTACAATATGTCACACGGCACGCAGTCCGCAGACATGCTGCACACTTGCCTTGTTTAATCTCCGAGGAAATTAATGCGCGAACTTGGAGTAAAGCCTTTGGAACAGTCCTTTTCAAACACGTTCCGAAATTTGGTATGAACTTTTGAGCTAAGATCCATCAGATACTGCGTAATAACCGCGTAATATTTGTAAGCCGCCAATAGGCAGTCAGTATTAACAACAATAGTGGTGAAAATGCGATTCCCGGGTGGCATATCAAAAGAAGAGGAGGCGTTCACCGGGAGAGGTGTATTTGAGGTCTGACGTTTCGGTATTATATAATTATGTAATTATTTACCGTACTAACAACACAGGTATTAGCTAAAAGCCCAGACATGTTTATTTCGACGATCTTGTGAAACTGCCTGATACAGGTCCGAAAAATTTACTTCAAGTTTGCTCATTGACTTCCTCGGAAGTTAAACAGGGTAATGTGAAACTGGAGTTCATATACCAGAAAACACAGAGGGAAAGCTGAGAGACCCATAAATGAGCTGAATCCCTGGTAGCTGCGTCAGGCAGCGACCCAAGATCGCCGAAACACGCATGCCTGGGCTTTTAGTTTCCACCTGTGTTGTTTGTTCAGTAAATAATTGCACAACATTACGCACTATAATCAGACAAGTCAATGAGATTGCAGAAAAGTGCGCTGTTATTCTAAAGCATACATGATCCGCAGTCTTAACAAGAACCGCACCCATACATAAATCCCTCCGAGGAGCAACCGCATGCAGACGTCTAGCCCAGCTAACATCATTACCACTAAAATGCACGACACTTGCATAATTCATCAGAACCGGTGAAAAAGGCTCAAGAGGGTCTGTCGGTCTTCGCTTCTCTTGAAAAACGTTTCGCTGTCGAAATCATGGGAATTCACGACTATAAGAAAAAGAAGAAGGGTCAATGAGCACCGGAATATTTTGCTTATGGTTCTGAGCTCTTGAATTCGGGCAGGAGTCCATTGTCAGAGATAGTAGAAGCAACAGAAGAAAGGAGAGTTATAAGGCGTGTAAGCCAATCATCGACCAACAGCGCAAGACTGAGGGTGACTGCACAGGGCTCACGCAAGTCATCTTCCCTGATCTCCTCCTCCTCCTCCTCCTCCTACTCCTCATCCTCCTCCTCCTCCTTCTTCTTCTTTTTCTCCTCCTCCTCTTCCTGTGGAGTTTACGGTGGACATCACCGAAAAAGACGGCCAAACTGTCTCATCTAAGCATTTCCTTTAAAGAAAATCCTCAGAATATGAATAATGATAGGGAAATCGGTCTATCGATTGCCCCTGTCTGGTATACTGCTTTGCAGAAATGTGCGGGGAGGGGGAGGACAATGGATGCAGATGATGTATAAGCAGTTACTGATCAACACTCAGTCAGCAGCTGCGTTCAAATGTGCTTCAGCCATGGCTGAAAGAAAATCACATTAATTTGCAGAAAATCAGTCTGGACTATATTGCCTTTTGATTCCCTTGGGTTTTAATCCCCCCTGATCTGAGCCAACACAAGTTGGCTGGCATGAATTCATGGTGGTACGACGGAACAAAACAGACGCCGGACCGCAAAAATTAAATCAGTTCAGCGTGGGGCCACGTTTGTTTGTATGACTAGACGTAGGATGCAACCGTGTGACTCGCTCTCAACATGACATTGTGCTCCAAAGCGTACTTGTGGGAAAATTACCGGATGCAGCTTAGGGAGACGGAAGTTTCTAGGTGATGCGCGGTGTTTGCCCAAGTTCTATGCACGACACTTTTATTCACACCGCAGCAAGGGGGAAGTGCGCAGGCTTTAACTTTCTCTCTCCTAAATTATCTCTCTCTCTCTTCATGAAACAATGTTATCAAACGATTTTTAGACAAGGACGAACAAGAGAAGAAGCGCGTAGACAATTGTGACGCTGGTAATATGGTATTATCGATTATGTGAATACTTATCACCGTCATACGAGTACATGTGAACCTTTGGCGGGTATTACATCTGCGAAACCAGGAGTAACTTACAGTGTTCAGAGCAACTTGTCTATTTGCCGACTGCTGAAGTCGTTTTTTGAGTAAAGCTGGCTGCTTGAGCCAAAGAGACCGTAAGGAAATGTCAATCTATTTTCCTCACCACTAAGTAACTCTCGATTCGAAGTTTTTTTTTCCAACAACCAGCTTAGAATGAGAACCCTTTCTGGATGATGTGTGGTGATATTTGTGTCCCACGCAGGGCAATGCGAATTGAATGGCTGGGTAAACCGTTTCTTTGGACTTTCTAATTCCCTCCCTCCTGAGAGCGGCACGAAGTGTGTAGAAGTCTGCGAGCACGTTTGGCGCGAAAATCAACGGCTTTGAAACGGGGCTAAAGAACATGGAAAAAATTGAAGGTTAGAATAGGCAACAGTCAGTGTTGCAGTTTGTAGGCTCCCAAATAACTCTATCTTATCGAAAGATAAGTTAAAATATATTGGTGTCAAACTACGTCAGCTTGGGTAAAGAGGCCTACCTTTTTCACGCCTATATTACGCGCAGCTGGGCCGCATGCTGGCGGGGCACGGGAGTGAACCCCAAGACCCGAGGGGACCAGTGAGTTTCGTAACAAAATCGGTGAGCGCTCGTCCACAAAAAACAGACTCGTTTGTGCCCAGGTACCCACTTATACTACTAGATATCATTTGAAATAGGGCTAGGGCTCCCAAACTCCCCACGCTATCTGGCTACAGAAATTTTGGATTGTCTGAAAATAGACTCCTGTAGGGGAGCTGAGAGCGCCGACTAGCACAATTTCTGTCGCATTGATGACATGTTCTTTTTGGAACTCTAATATTAGCTTTTTCTAGGTTCGGGTTGGCGCTTGGAGGCGTCAGAGACTGACACTTTTAGTGTGTCGTTGGCATAAGCGAAAAAAAATTTCAGCGTAAAGACCCTTGAAAACAGAGAGTGCTTGAACTGAAGCCCTAGACGTACAACTCTAGCACACCTATGATGAATTTAATGTGTTCGGTAGAATAGCAGGAAGTTATACTGAAGAGAAATCTAGAGAGTTTTGGAAAAATCATCTAGCGTAATGCATTTCTGGGAGAAAGAACCAACCAGTTCAGTCTAGGACAACGTTTCTTCTTAAATGTCCGGAAACTGCTTATAATATGTATTACGCAAGACAATAGGAAGCTGCGAAGACAAGAACCTAATCATGAGGCCACCTTTTGTCGTATTTTAATGGTTGACTCGAGCAGCTGGATTCGAAAGTTTCACGCAATCTGAGCAAAATGATTTCAGGAGATCGATTTGAGTAGTACATTTTTACTGTAGCCTCATTAAGAAAAACAACTGAACATTTCGGAAGGATTGGTGTAAGGATGTAAGGATTTATGCCAGTTTTGTCGTACTTTAATGGTTGACTCGAACAGCTCAATTCGAATGTTCCGTACGATCTGAGCAACACGATTTCAAGAGAGCGCTCTGAACTGCGCATTTTGCAATCAGCCACCTAAGACAGTTCAGAACGGATGGTGCATTGTTTTATTTGTCTTGAGGGAGCCGTTCAAGAATCTGGAGTCCTGCAAACACATGCCCAGCCAGCTCTGTCCATTTTGGCATCAAACCAATTTCTCCGTCCCCCTGGTTTGCAATTCACTCTGCCATTATGCAAGCGCTTCTTTAAAAATAATTAATTACATTAGTGGCTGAAAAACCAATTTACTGACTGCTCCGTTGGTGGCAGTCCGCGTAATCTAATGCTCTTTTCGTTAGTGGGATGTTAGTGGCGACAGACGATCTGTATGCAGTTACTTGTCAACTTCCAACCAGCAAGTACATAGGTTGAGATGCGCCGTGACCGTTGTTGAAATTTAATTAGATTAGTTAGAGGAAAGTCAGTCTGATCTGTACGCCCTGCTAAATCCTTTGGATTTCAGTTTTCGTGCTCTGGAGTCGCACAAGTTGCCTAGGACAAGTCCTACGTCATACGGCATGATGAAACTAACACCCGTCTTTTGCCATTCTGCCTCCACAAAACTGATCATGTGATTTTTTCCTATTCTATGGAGGTGGAGTCTTGCAGGAGGTACGAATGTCCACAATAGGTGGGCTAACTCATGAAATGTCAAACGAAATTCCGAAATGCGTTTTCGATTCAGAAAGATTAATTAAATGGGGTTGAAAAACG